TGTATCATTACTCTCAGCCTTAAGTTACTTAAAAATCATAGCATACTTAATTCTATTTCAGGGCTTTTATTTTTATTTTTTAAAAATATTTTTTATTGATTTCAGAGAGGAAGAGAGAGGGAGGGAGAGAGAGAGAGAGAGAGAGAGAGAAACATCAATGATGAGAGAGAACCATCGACTGGCTGCCTCCCGCACGCCCCCACTGGATCGAGCCCGAAACCCGGGCATGTGCCCCCGACCGGAATCGAACCTGGGACTCCTCAGTCCACAGGCCAACGCTCTATCCACTTAGCCAAACCAGCCAGGGCTCTATTTCAGGGCTTTTAAAGTAGAAAGAGAAATCTTAAAAATACCAAGATAAAAATAATCATAAAAATATCAAGATATGTACTGTACATTAAAGAAATATTTAAATGTATAAATAATATTATCTACTATTACTTGGACCACAATTATTTCTCAATGAAAAAATATCTGGAAAATGTTATACATTTCATAGGACTAATCAGTGGAAATCTTTCAACATCTGGATGAAATCAACTAAGGCAAATATTTTTCTTGCTAATATGAACTTGTTACAAAGAAGGAAATTTCTTTAATAAGGAGAATAAATGCTACTAATAAAAGTTACTATTTTAAGTTCTACCTAGTTATCTACAAATTGTCAAATCTCAACTATGATACTATAGTATAGTATAAAAACTGAATTTGCAACTACAACATAAACATAATAGGTCAATTTTTCTATAGTATGACATACTTACTAACATACTCAGTAAAAGTTGGAGCTGCCATAGAAATTTTCAGTTTCACAGAACCCAGGTAGCACTCTATTATTTAGTAAAAATTCTGCCATGTGTATTTATTGATAACACAGAATATCACCCTTAATGATGTAGTCATACCTCTATTTTCAAGAGTTCAAATTAGGAACTGTTTCCATTTTTATTTCTCTGTGGAAAAAAATTATCTCCAAGTGGTTCTATCAAATTCTGTAAACATTCTAGAGTAACAGAACTACATGTAGTTAAATATTTAAAATTCCAAAAATCAGTAATAAGTTTCTAACCAAGAAAATTTAAAATGCTGTTTTAATATATTACGTTTTCAGATAAATATGCAAAGATCATAAAGATTTAATTCACTTTTTGCAAAAGAGGAATAAGAAAATGCAAAGCCAACGGGTTTAATAAAATTTTGCCCAGCCAGTGTGGCCCAGAGGTTGAGAGTTGACCCAGGAACCAAGAGTTTACTGGTTTGATTCCCAGTCAGGGCACATGCTCCAGGAGGCAGCCGATCGATATTTCTCTCATTGATGTTTCTATCTCTCTATCCTTCCTCCCTGCCTCTCTCTCTAAAAATCAATAACGGAAAAAACAAAAAACAACTTTGCACTAATGTCCTAAATAAATTAACATGTTCAGGCCTCAATTTCCACAAGTAAAATATAATAAAAATAATAAATACACAACTTCCCTATCTTGCTTCAGACATTTATGAATATAAAATGAAATGATATATTAAAGTTCTTAGTATTATAAAATGTCCAAGTGTGATATATTACTACAAAAATAATCTTCTTATAAGCAAGAACCCAAACTATCTCTGTAGGAAATCTCAACTTATAAGATATATGCAAACTTTCTATTTATGTTTGACACAGTTAACTTAGAAAATGTGTTATCTCAAAAATAAGAATAAGCATATTTAATCTTTTTCATGACTCTTTATGGTAAAATTATCACTAAATATGTATCATTAAAGGTCAAATTATTCCAAAATAATTGAATTATGTCAAACACATGCTTTTTCATATCTCCCTCCTGGCAAGAGAGGGGTGGAAAGTTTTTGCCATGTTCTCCTCCAGAACTAAAGGTCATTGATCTCAGTCAGGTTTCTCTGATTCCATCTTGTTTTTGTTTGTTTTTTCTCATGGGGTTACAGGGATGGGTTAAAAAGGTGAAGATGTTACCAGACAGGGAACCTACTAGTAGTCCTGAGTGGGACTGCCTCAGGCCAGCCACTGGTATGTGGGTTCTTGACTTTGTGCAGGAAAAACTTCACAAGTCCAGGTGACTGTGAGGGTACATGTATTAAAGCTGGGGACAGTGAAATAAGGACGGGCATAGTACAGGAGCACCAACAGGAGAGCCCAGGTGGGGCTGCTTTAGCTCACTAGGAAGCCAGAGAAAAGGGGGCCTTGGAGCAGGTTCGGGTGGTTAACCTGGGGAGAGCTACACTGCCCATTGCTCCCTTGGTTGCAAGTCTCATGGGGTCCCTTAGAGGTTAGGGGATGCATGTCTGTGGGGGAGGATCTATCTTCTTTTTATCCTCTCTATTTTCATTGTTCTTTTCCTTAGGAAGTGCCACTGATATAATTCAACTTTGTGCCAGGTCCTTGTTTTTCTTCCTTAGATTCCCCTAAGGATTCATGACAGGCTTTTATTTTTTATTCATGTGCAGTACAGGAGGCATTTAAGAATATTTATAATTCTACTAGGGGCCCAGTACACATAATTCATGCACTCGGGGGGAGGGGGGGGGTGCGGAGGTGTTCCTCGGCCCAGCCTGTACCCTGTTGCAGTCCAGGAGCGCTCGGGGGATGTCTGACTGATGGCCGGCAGTCGGACATCCTTAGGGCTGTCTCGGAGGCAGGAGAGGCTCCAGCCACGGCCGCCATCATGGCTGAGCTGCGCTCCCCCTGTGGGAGCACACTGACCACCAGGGGGCAGCTCCTGAGTTAAGTGTCTTCCCCCTGGTGGTCAGTGCATGTCATAGCAAGCGATTGAGCAACCTTAGCATATCATTAGCATATTACATTTTGATTGGTTGGACAGACAACTGGACACTTAGCATATTAGGCTTATTATACAGGAAATCACAAAGAACCATACTTCATGAAAATGCATAATTTAAGACAAAACCAGCATTTTGGAATCTGTAATTTTCCTTTATCTTTATCACTAGAGGCCCGGTGCACGAATTCGTGCACCAGTGGGGTCCCTTGGCCTGGCCTGCGGGATACGGCTGAAACCGGCTCCCCGATTGCCCCCAAGAGGTCCCGGATGGCAAGAAGGTGCAGGCCAGGCCAAGGGAACCCACTGGTGCATGATCGGAGCCGGGGAGGGACACGGGAGGTTGGTCAGCCAGGAAGGGACTGCGGGAGGACTCCAGGGTATGTCTGACCTGTCTTGTTCAGTCCCAACTGGCCGGACCCCAGCAGCAAGCTAACCTATGGGTCAGAGTGTCTGCCCCCTGGTGGTCAGTGCACGTCATAGCGACTGGTCAATCAGTTGACTGTCTGCCCCCTGGTGGTCAGTGCACATCATAGCGAGCAGTTGAGCGGCCTTAGCATATCATTAGCATATTACGCTTTGATTGGTTGAATGGCCAACCAGACACTTAGCATATTAGGCTTTTATTATATAGGATGGTCTCTGCATGTCACAGTTGTTTTTGTTTAATGGTTTATTTTCTATAGATGATGATTGGTAATGAAAAATAAGCAACTACAAGGCATACACAATACTTAACACTGCAAATCAAGAGGTAGGAATAAAATAACTATTTATGTTTGCAAAATTTATTAATGCTCTTAAGCATTTAAGACATACTAAGTTAACTTTACTAAAACATGAAATTATAAAAACATTTTCTGTCACCCATATGGATGTGTTGGTTATATTACATACACTAACAGAAAATGAAAACCAAAAAGCAGCCAATTTTACCAAGTAAAGAATTACAAATGAAAGTTTTTGGAATTTTATGAGTATGAATTTTCTTTGACTTTTACAAGCCAAATAACATGCACTAAGCTAAATCTAAAAAAAAAAAATCAGAACAATGAAAAAAAAACTAAGGATTTTTAGAGCCAATGGCAAAAAATTAACATAGAGTGGACACCAAAACTAAACATATTGTTACCTGGCGCTTCATTGCATGCATTTCTGTTAGATTGCTGTAGTATTCTCCTAGCATGTGCTGTAGGAAAGGGCAGACATAGGATGAACATAAAATGTGTATGATAGGGTCTACAACATAAACAAGTGAATAAAAAATTAAATAAGCAAATTCCTTTAAAGCTGTTTGCCTGAACTGAAATGTTATCACATATGCTCCATTTAAAAATAATCTCATCAGAGAAAATATAAAACGACTTGCCATAAACTTATATTAAAGTGCCTGATAGTGACCATAATAAACTTCTACCATTCACTTAGAAGTATACGCATCCAGGTGAACCTTTCACATCTCTTTAGGGAGAGGAGGGCTGTATACTTTAATACCAGTAGTCATATATGTTACTCTCTAATAATCATATAACAAAAACTGTTACATGCTATTAAGAATTTTAGGGTAATGGTTAATACTAAAAAATAAGTCTTTTTAGAAAGCATATAAATACACACAAAGGTATATTTACACTATTCAAACATTTTTCAATTCACTAAAATTCAATCATTTTCTTTTAATAAGTGACAGTAAGATCTGACCAACAATCAATTTATGTAACTGATATCCTTTCAATTTAGTGCCTTTCCCTAACCTCCACCCAAACATTTACTTTTGAAGACATCATTATTTGATAAAGGTAGTGAAAGGAGATGAAAATTACAAAATTTTGGTAAAATTTCAGGGTCAGGACAATAAAATTGATATTTTTGCCAAAAAGATCCTAGACTTAACAGACCAGGATGAAAACTTCAGTTCTACCATTTCCAAGCAATATGATCTTGAGGAAGTCATTTCAAAAAAAGTGATGTTTCTTTTATGATTACAAAAGTAATGAATACTGTAAAATTTTAGAAAATTTATAGAAGAGTTTAAAGATGATAGAACCACTATTAACATTTTGATACATTTTCTTCTAGTGTTTTTGCATTCAGATTTTTGTTTAAAGATAGTTGAAAAAAAACACACAAAACAAAACATAGTTGAAATCATATAGTTCAAACAACAATAAATCTCAATTTATTTTTTCCCATTTGTTTCCTTAGGATGGATGCCTACAGAATTACTGAGTTAAAGGCATGACTTTTTGATGAAAAACTGTGCCAGTTTATATTACTGGCCCTTTTTGAGTGCTGTAAAAAAATCAGATACCCTCTCTGACCATGTATACTCATCTACAAATGGAAATAAAAACAATTCACAGGATTATGAAGCTCAAATGAGATAATTTATAAACAATGAAGCATAATACAAATGGTAGCTGCAACTATCGTTTTCACTAAGGATCTTACTGGCAACTGAAAACTGACAGTCTATATTTACTACCTCCCTTCCTCTCCACATTTCTTTGAGATGTACTTATTCTCTATAGATTATGAAAGTACCAGTGCTTATTTAAACTAAAACGGTGGCAAATACATATGACTCCATTCATCCAATAAACACTTACTGAGTGACTACCATGTGTCAGGGATCACACTAACATTTAACAAATATGAAAAGGCAGTATCTGTTGCCAAGGGACTCAAAAAGGCGATACAGACACTTAAACAGGTATATACCAGATAATGTGATACAGGCAACAAAAGAGGTTTACACAGGCTACAACAAAAACAAAGAAGGGAAACCTATCCCAGCTTGCATTTGGATGCAAGTTCAGAGTTACAGAACTAAGAATTTATTTAAGAGACCAGCAGAGCCGAAACCGGTTTGGCTCAGTGGATAGAGCGTCGGCCTGAGGACTGAAAGGTCCCAGGTTCGATTCCGGTCAAGGGCATGTACCTGGGTTGCGGGCACATCCCCAGTAGGAGATGTGCAGGAGGCAGCTGATCGATGTTTCTCTCTCATCGATGTTTCTAACTCTCTATCTCTCTCCCTTCCTCTCTGTAAAAAATCAATAAAATATATTTTAAAAAAAAAAAAAAAAGAGACCAGCAGAGGAAAGGGCTCTCAAAGAGCAAAAAGGACTTGAGACAGAAAAAACATGCTGAGGTAACATGACAGCTATGGGAACATTTCAGTTCTGTGCCACTAGAAGAGTAGGTTTAAGGCAGAAGGTAATGAGGAATGAGACTGGAGAGGCAGGCAGGAATCTCTGCTGGCCAGACATGTTACATTATGGCATATGGACTTTCTCCTGCAGGCATGGTTTGAAGCAGGAAAATGACATGATTGTATATCCGAATTCATATTCAGATAAAATTTTCAGAATTCCAATTAGGATTTCCAAGTTAATGTTAACTATACTTTTCTGTTTAGAATTTTAGAAAAATGAGTCAAAAGCTAATATCATAACAACAATACAAAAAAGTTCCGGTTTACATTTCTTGACATAAAGAAATGTGTATTGTAATCTCTACATAAAACCTTGCAGATAGAAAAGTGTAACAGACCAATTTCAAGACTTGTTTTAGTACAGCTTTTCAAATGTAAGATGAAGAAGTCCTTAAATTAAAGCAAACCAAAAAAGAACATACCTGAAGATATTTCTGCAGACCTACAACATTTTATTATTTTTTCCAGCTGCTCATGACTCTTTCTGCTGGATACTTTTGCTTGAACAGGCTCTTCAGTCTGGGCTGAATGTCTGTTCCTATTTTTGCAAGGTTCGCATGTGCTAGACATACTGGCACTTTCATACCCTTAAGTAAAAAAAGTAACAACTGTTATCAGTTGTAACTAATTCAAACCAAAAGGGAAACTGATTTTCATAGTGAAATAGTACAGGTAACTCAACTGAGCATGCTGTGAAGGCCTGGTATAAATAGAATATGAAAGAGTAAATGAAATATCTTGGAGATACCTTTGCAACAGTCTTTGGAAGCATGGGGTAACAGTAATATATCCTCACTCATTGTCCTTTGATACCCATCTTAATGAGCATATCTAATATGACCCAAATTATCTACTAGACTCCAAGTTAACAACTTTTCAGTATTAGGAAATACAAGAAAAAATATTATATACAATCTATACAAAATATCCAACACAGAGAAGAATAATGGGCACTAAATAGTCAAATATGCCTGCCTTCTTACTATACCTTTTATGTAATGACTTAGTCTAAAAAGTCTTGCCCACCCATAGGTTATACATATATTCTACTAAATTTTCCTTCTAAATTTTTTTTTTACATTTATTTTGGTATATGGCACAAGGTAGGAATTCAACTTTATTTTGTTCCACATGAATAGTTGGTTATACATACCCCTTTGCCCAATGAATTAAATTTACATTTTAACCTTGCAATAGGATAGTGAAGACCCCAGGTTAGGGGGGCAAGGGGTAGGGGGGGAAATGAGAGGTATCTGTAATACTATTAACAATAAAAAATATTTTTTAAAAATAAAATGTAACCTTGGTTAACATATTAAATCTCCATATTTATTGGGTTTTATTCCTGGGTTTTCTGTTTAACTTATCTATTCCAATGCCATTTTCATTCTTTTAGCCACAAAAGTTTTACAGTGTGTTTTAACAACTGGTAAGGCAAGTCCTTCCTAGCTTTCCTTGGCTATTCTTGGACATTTGTCCTTCTAGATAAGCAGTAAAAATTTTCCCCCAAATTTCAAAAACAATCTTTGGGGATTCAAAATAGAATCACATTGAAAGCATTTATTAATTTGAGAAGTAATATTTAATAGCTTATCTATTCTCATCTAAGAGCATGGTTGTATTTTTTCATTTGTTCATTCTTGTTTCATGTTCTTCAAAAATATTTTATAAAATTTTACAGAACTAGGACTTTCCTTGTTAAATTTACTCCTAAGAAAAATTTCCCCCAGTAGTTTTGAATACTAAAATGAGAATATTTCCTCCCACTTCCATTTCTACTGGGTATTACTATAATAGAGAAAATTATTTTATAACTTTAGGAGCTATTTTATAACTTCAGTATCTCTTGGGTTCTCAGAAATAGACTCAGATACAGAGAACCATTGCCAGAGTGGGGGAAGGTGGTGAGGAAGCTGGGTGAAAGGGTGAAGGGATTAAGAAATATGAATGGCCGAAACCGGTTTGGCTCAGTGGATAGAGCGTCGGCCTGGGGACTGAAGGGTCCCAGGTTCGATTCCGGTCAAGGGCATGTACCTGGGTTGCGGGCACATCCCCAGTGGGAGATGTGCAGGAGGCGGCTGATCGATGTTTCTCTCTCATCGATGTTTCTAACTCTCTATCTCTCTCCCTTCCTCTCTGTAAAAAATCAATAAAATATATTAAAAAAGAAAAAGAAATATGAATGAATTGGTAGTTACAGAATAGTCACAGAGATGTAAATTACAGCATAGGGAGTTTTCAACAACAGAAAGAGTTGCATGGATCTCCTCAACCAAATGTTTCCCAAGAACCATAGAATTCTGATCTTTGCCCTAGATATACTCTCAAAGAGCTAGCAGACCCTAAATAAAGCCTTGCTGCTTACAGCCCCACACTCACAGCAGCTGCTCTGCTAATAACAAGTCCCCAATATATAGTTAATTTATTCTCTGTGATATCCTATCTGGAGTCAACCTTCCCTTTCTATTTCTAAAGCCATTTTTCTAGTTAGGACTTCATCATCTCATATTTAGGCTCCTGGTTTCTTCATTGGTCTCTCTGAATAAAGTCTAGCCATGCTCATTCATTCTGTTCAAAACTTACAGGAAAAAGAGCTCTCTTGGTTATGTTTGACCTTCACAACATTTATGAAATTAAGCTTCTAACTACTGCTACTGAATAAAAAAGTGCTGAATGAATTCTAATAGAAAATTAAAATATACATTATGTGGCATACACAAAATTCTCTTTGGGTAGCCCCAGTAGGCACTTCAAAGATAAACTCACCTTCCAAAACAGCTGCAACTAAAAATTAAATAGCTATAATTAAAATGCTATAAAAAGATTACACACACACAACTATGGTGTTCTGAGTCCCAAATGAAAAACATCAAGGGCTAGATTTCCAAAGGTAAGATACTAGTGTGACTGAATTATTTCTCTCTTGGGTACTTTAATAGTAATCCGCCAGGGAGAACAGGAGACTTAATGAAAGTTAATAATACTTCAGAATAACACTGGCTAAGTCAGCCAGAACAACAACACATGCCATTCATTACTGTAAAGGTGTTATCCCCTATCCCACTTCATCACTCCTTCCTTACACTCATTCTATTTTTCTCAGCATGAGTGGCTGACATAGCTAGAAGAAACAGTACTTCTAGTTGTGTCCACTGCAGGTAAACAGCTCAGCCATGGCACCCTGGGGACTCTGCATGTATCCACAAAAGCCACACAGGAAAGTACTGAACTGCAGCTGACGCTAAGCCCTGACAGAAGGCCTTATAATAATCCTCTTGGAACATGGAACACAAGAACACAGGAGGCTTGTGAGAAGCTGCTATGTGGCCATTTTCACTCGCCTCCCCCTTTCCCTGGAAAACTGCTGAGCGTTTTCCTTCTCCCTGATTCTGATGCCATGCCACCTTTCTGCTACCCCACGGGCACAACTCCATCCTACAGAGTGGCTTAGCTACAGCATAAGCCTTGGCTCCTCACCAATAGGTGTCCACCACTCATGTATGTTATACTTGTCATCTAGCCCTTTTTGTTTCAGTGTTGCCCTTATGGTGTATGGAATAAATGACATAGGGAGCTGGCACCTTTAGCTACTTCTCCTTTCTCTATTTATATAATAAATTCTCTGAATCTAAAAGGGCTGTTTCTTTACAGGCCACGCCTAATGCTTAACATCTATTTCATCTCAATTTTCATTAATGAGTCATAGGAGGGGGAGAAGGGAAGAAATGAAAAGATTCAGGTATGGACAGAACCCATAAGTCAGCACATTAACAATTCTACCCAATATTCCAAGAAAAAAATGAGGAATATCTAAAATATATGCTCCTATTCTCTCTAATCATATCAAAAGAGGAAATGGACCTGGTGGACTGTAACCAAATTATGGGTCTGGTAACCAAATGATAGGTTTGATAACATCCAGCAAGGCAAGAAATCATGTTCAACTCAGTAAGTGTGAATGTGAATTGAAGTTTAAAAGATAATCATCATATAATTTGTAAAATCTTATTTCACATACAGTAACATGCATCTTTACATATACAGAGTTTGTAAAGATTAAAATACATTACCATCACAGGAGACTAAGTTAAACAAAGATTTAGCATGCCACTTCTGCAAGACTGTCAACATTTGCAAAAAACATCCACATA